AGAGATGGAGAGGAGGATGGAACTGGAGGAACAGCTCAGCCAGGCTCAGCAACAACTGGACCTCCAACAGGAACAGCTAGGGTACACCAGAGAGGTAGGTGATAGTCAGAGTGCCCAAGAAAAAGGCAAGAAAGAGTGTTGTACTTTGGCCCTGTTCTGGGTCCTATTTCATGAAATGATTAGTCTCGGAAAGTCTGCCAATTATTAATTTTTTTAGTCAACCAAGTTTCATTTTACAAAGAAGATAAATGAAAATTCACTTCGACTAATGACGAAGTGGGCTGAGCATAGTTGACTATCCAAATATAGCAGTCTTAGCTAAGTCCAGGCCTTGAGACTGACAATACCACCAATATCTTATGAGTGTTTTACACTGCAGACTGAATACAGCTGTTGTATATTATGTTTTCAGTTCACATTCAGTCAAGACATGGAACCTGAGGTGGATGAATATGGCAGAATTCTGGACACCAGGACACCAAATATAAGTAAGTTAGATATTTTTGATACATTGTAATATTTATTATTATAAATTATATATAATAAATGCATATTGATAGGTGATGGCAGTACAAGGAATAGACATTATTATGTGCATAAATTTACCATTTTAAACACTTGATACTTTATAAAGTTATTTTAGTAATAATGATATATTTGATTATTGATGACAGTTTGTGTTGTTTAAATATTATATTTGTTGCTATGCAGGTTTAACAAGTTTATTTCATTGATTAATTATTTACTTCCAGCGAGACGAGCTTTGGGGACATGTAAGAGACTACAGCGCTGGTTTAATAGACAAAGGTAAAGTTCTATGGCTTTATGGAAAAATTTTAGCTCTAAGTATAAGCTGTAACAATTCTTCTTGTAAATTGTGTGCACGTGTGTGCATGTTTGCATGTGTGAAAGGAGACCTAACTTGTCTCTTCTTATTGCACACTAGTGTGAGTGCGTTCATTTGTTCCTTTTACTCAATCCTCATTACCTCCTCGTTTCAGTGTCTACCTGAGCCGAAGACTGAGGATGTATCCTCGCATGAGGAACATAGCCCTGTTATACGTGATACTGCTCCATGCTCTGCTGATAGCCTGTATGTTTGGGCTGCTATGATGACGTCAAGGGAATGTTTCTTTACTTAGGCAATTACATGTGTTTACATGTTGAGGTAGTAACAAGAATTGTGAATGTAGTCCTTTCATCATTTAAAGATGGTCATGTAATCATGTGGCACATATTCAATACCAATATTTTAGTGCAATAAATGTAATATTTTGAATAATTTGCAACATGAAAGGAATATCAGTGTCATGCTGCATTTATCTCACAGCCAGTGACAGGTTGGAAGATCGTCATTGTACATTCTCCGCTGTTGAATTGGCTACATTGGCAGGTGACAAGCATTTGTCAATGTTGCATTCTGAAAAACACTGTCACATTTCCCTGATGTTTCCATAATATTGTTGTAGATCTCTTCTTTGTGAAATGATAGCAGTTCCTCCAGTAATTAAGAGAAACACCTTGTGTTGTTGTTATCACTGATTGATTACACATCAACAGTAAGAGAGGTGACAAAAAGACAACATTATTGATTTAGACTTTTAATGGAAAATGTTTATTTTAAAGGAAAAAAACAATGTTGTAAGTAGCTAGAAAATTTTAATGCTTTCCTTGATGAAGTAGAGATCAAGGTTAGTTGCTTCACATTAAGTTGTGATATGTAGATATATTCTTTAGACATAAACCTTGTGCCTTCAAGTTGGTTAACTTGGAACTTATCAGTGTCACATCCTATTAAACTTATTCAGTTTTGGCCATGCTTTAAGGCTTGTTAAATGGGTCACGGTGATTATTTTTCAGTGGAAAAATGAGACGTGGATTTTTTATGTATTGCGCACAGACAGATTGGGAAAACATTCCGTGTCACAAATGTCATTTAGGATGTCATATCTCTCATTGTCTTCCTTGACATAAAACTATACAGAATTAGTATTCAGTATTAGATTTAGCTAAGTTGCATTGTAATGGGTTATTTTTATGTACAGACACAGATGTGTCTGTACATATAGCCATCATCTGCGTCTGTCGTCGCCGTCGTCGCCGTCGTCGCCGTCGCCGTGCACTTTTACCGATAACACGATAAGTGGAAAACCATTTTACCTTTTGACTTGAAACTTGCAGAACTGATGAATATTCATAATACGCAAATC